AGGTAATGCCCAAGTATGGCTGTCTAGATAGATAGATAGATAGACCAACTATATATGGAAACAATATTTTTTTAAACATTAACACACACTAATGTGATTCTTTTAAAAATATACTTTTTTAGGAATGCTGTAATAAATAAAAAAAAACAGATTAACTATGAACTCATTCTTCAGACTTATTTCTGAAGGCTTAAAAAGGTAATGGGCCCCATTCACACCTACGAATGGGGCCGATCGCATGAGTCTTACAAATTCCTCTGTGGCACTCAAGCAATCTGCTATGAACCGGAGTCACTGTACAATACAATGACAGCTGCCACCCCCTTTAGCTGTTTACAAGTAACCACACAGCCTGTGATTTCCTGCAGATGACCACACCTGGATGCAGACTGTTTGCGTCAAGTTACGATCATGAATGCAGCCATAAGCTTGGGTATTAAGGGTAGATTCTCTGTCAGTGTCAGTAATTGTTAGGTACTTATTATTTTCTATAAGTCAGAAAGCAGGACCACTTATCAGAGGTGAGGGTGTAGAGAGGGATGCACATAGTGGTGCAGCTGCCACCATAGCAGCAATGGCTTGGTAGAGGAGGGAGGGGTCACAGGTTCCATTCTGGAGCTAAATCAGGGGTAGGAAACCTTGGCCTTCCAGCTGTGGTTTAACTACAAACCCCATTAGCCATTGCAATACACAGCCCCAAATATGACTCCCAGATGGAAAGCACAGTGGCGTAGTGGTTAGCGCATGTGCCTTACAATACTAGGGTCCCTGGTCAGGTCCACTATCTGCAAGGAGTTTGCATGTTCTCCCTGTGTTTGCATGGGTTTCCTCAGGGTACTCCAATTACCTCCTACACTCCAAAGACATGCTGAAAGGTTAATTGGCTCCTGTCTAAATTGTCCCTCTATGTATGTATGTGAGATAGGGACCTTTAGATTATAAGCTCCTTGAGGGCAGGGACTGATGTGTATGTGCACAATGTAAAGCACTGTGCAAATTGTCGGCACTATATAAATGCCTGTAATAAAAAGACACATGAGGAGCTTTGTAGTTTCACCATAGCTGGAGTGCCAAGGCTGCCTACCCTGTGCTAAATACTCACATTCCCATATATTAATTTATCAATTTTCATCCTGCTGTGAATCAGTGAAAATTTGCAACAAAAGTTTAGGCTTTTTTTGTTGCTAAATTCACCTGCCCAAGTCAGCATGGGCCAAAATAAGGAGAAGACTCAAAGAAGCCTTGAGTTAGCAGGCACACAAATGTAACATTCTGCCTGTAACACAATGCTGCCATCACATCAGAGCAGGGGAAAACAGATAGTAGTAGACTGCAGTTTTGGTGCAAAAAGGGTTTTCATTAGGAGGCAATTCCACTGACCACCCATGTAGTTAGAGCTTTTCTTGTTGGGGGACCTTTACATGAAACAGAAAATATTAGTTGTTTAATTGAAAGGAGATTGTACAACCACATTGCAAGGTGTGGCCAGGTTGAAGCATATCTTGTGGGGTTGAATAAATGTTTAGCAGTGAATAAACCAAAAATATGTTACAAACAACATCTCTGCTAACAGAAATCATCAGCTGTGACCATATTCTCGGATGTATTCTGCCTGTTCAACTCTTTCCTAATCTTGTTGTTTTCCATGGCTGAAATATTATTATTACGAAATACACTGGCCCAAAATATAATTTATCTCTGTCTACATGAGAAGGTCATTCAGTCATTTTCATTTTATAATTCTGAGCTTTATTTGCCAGATAATGTTTGATGACTATGCAGGAAATTCTTTGTGAGCTAAAAGTATGAGTAAAATGTACTTTTGTGATTTTTTTTTATGTCAGTAAGATTAGTTATATCTGAAAAAAATACAGGAGATTATTTTAGGAAATTATTGATTATTTTGCCCTACATCGCTCTTATATGTTAACCAAATCACTCAAATCTCACTTAAGCTTTCACATTTTAATGTATGTCATTTTCAGTATATATAAATCTGCAGCTTTCATTACAATAATACCTGGTAATCCTGCCATGAAGGTCCTTGTCTAGGCACTTCTGGTTGTAGGGTGACAGCACGTTGTCCCTGTCTACCAGATGTGCTCTCGTGCTGTCACCTTTATGGCTTCTGATGGAGGCAACAAGTATCCATTTCAACATACTGTATATTATGCAATAGAAATTCAATATAGAAATACATATTTATTTTTAGTTGTTCACCACAGATACCCTTTAAGAAGGGTCAGAAAAAATCAACTGCAGGTCAATTGCACCTGTCAATAAATTCTAATGATATCATCCATAGTGGATCTCAGGCTGATGTCCGCCCAGCTGTCATTTGCGGGGCTTACGGCCGGCCTTCGGCAAGCCGTATCCCCCGCTTCGGCTGTGGAGCCGAAGCATATGCCTTCGGCTCGGCTGAGCCGCCTTCAGCTGCTGTACGGGCTATTGTAAATAGCCCGTAAATATCCCGTACAGCAGCCCTTCAGTTACACCGGTCCCAATGGTCTCCGGCCGGCCGAAGAGAGCCGAAGGATCAGCTGAAGCTACAGCTGGATCCTCCAGCTCCTTCGTGAATAACCCCCTTTGTTTGCTAAGTACCGTGTATCATAAACAACTGTCATTACTATAAATAAAATACTTGCTTTCACCTTTTCTTCTTTCTGAACAAAGATTAATGGCAGTATCACCAGGTGTGTTTTTTTTAATCAATAGTTTTTCTTAATTTTCAAAATACAAAGAAAATTTAGCTCGAAAGGGAGGCATATCTTATACGAAAACCATGAAGAGACATATTTTTATAACACAAGTACACAGTTGAATTGGCATTTCACAAGGTAATATTTTAGTGAAGACAGATGATTTAAAAATATAAAAAATTACTTTTGAAATTACATTAGCCAGCTAAAAATGATATGAGATTTTAGCAATTGGGTTTACATTTACATCTGGTGATATGCAAGGTGACTGGCAATCAGAGGCTCTAAGACAGTAGCATGTGAACACCAGAAGGCACTTCGGCTGGGCTCAGGGAGTACTTTTGATTGTTGAAGTGAATTCCCCTTTACAGTTTAGAATTTTAGGAAATCATAAATCACATATGAAACAGATATATGTAAATATGTATCACCTCCTTGCTGTTACCACCTCAGAACTTCCATCTACACTCCCATGGAGCCTGTGTATTGAAATCACTGATTGTCTATAGCCATGGTTCTCAACTGGTGGGTCGCCCATGTCCAGTGGGTCGCCACATGCCTTCCACTTTTCTAGGTGAGAGTATCCTTGTCCTCCCCTTAGAGAAGCACTGTCAGTTCTCGCACGGAGCAGCCATTCAAAAATATGAAGCCCGGTGCCGAGTGTCGACTTGAGGTGGGGCTATGGCCGCGAGGGAGCTCCATCCATACGTGCATTGCTTACAGCTCATCACTTTCTGGCTCCCGGGACCTCTACGGGCACACACGGGAGCTTTACAAGCAATACACATATGGATGGAGCTCCATCACAGCTCAGCAGCCCACACTGGACCCCAGGTTGAGGATCCACTCCAATTTGCATAATGGCAACCCAAACACACCTCCTGCTCACAGTTTGATCGCCTGCACCGGAAAGCGCAGTACCGCAACAGGGAACATTGCAGTGCAACTTGGGTCGCGACTTAATGACTGAGGACAAATGTGGGTCCCGAGGTTAAACAGGTTGAGAACCACTGGTCTATAGTATGCATCACTAGTATCCTTTTGCTGCCCATTACCAGGATTTAAAATGTATGTCTAGACAAAACTTTTCTTTTTTAGTTTTGGATATAGTGGGGAAAGATTAGAATCCCTGTCTGTTTTTTGCTGCTACCTTGGACTCTGTTAGAGAGTGACATATCATTAAATAGATTTGCACTGACCCATGTGTTTTTGTTGTGCTGGTGTGCTAGTGACATCTATATTCAAAGTTGTTCTGAGTGCGGCGCCATCCGCTGTCATTCCGAGCACCCATTTAACTTTTTCTGGGATTTCTGGTAAGAAGTGCTACAGGATCTAGGACGTTTGTTCTGTTAGAGAGATGTCCCCTCACATACTAGCCCAATGACAACTGCTTCACCAGAGAGGAACCAAGGGTAAAACTCTAACAGAAACACAGACAGAAATGAAAATATTTTTAGTTATGCAGGGGAAGGCTAAAACCCCTGTCAAATTTGTATTTTTCTCTGTGTCTGTGTTGCAGATTTTCCCTCACTTCCTGTCTGGTGAAAGCCCAGTTTAGTAGTAAAAACCAAACGTGGGTTCTAATCCTTCCCCACTCTATGCAAAACTTTTTTTTAAATGGCTGGACATATACTTTAACCCTTTCCTTTCCCTTGTATTTGGAATACATAACTTCAGTTTGGCTGGCGTTGGTTTATAACCGTGTGTCACTGCCTAGTGTCATTGTATTTAGCTGGGCTTATCATTATAGAGCAAATTAGCTTGTTCCTCAATTGTAGCGTCAATTGACAGGCAATTCGAGTTTAGTGTGACAGGTTCACTTTTAAGATTTTTCCTTCTGTAACCATGTGTAAAGATCTACTTATCCATGTGTAAAGTCCTTATTACTTTGTTTACGGAGTCAGAAGAAAGGCTTGTTTCATTCCCTCCCACTTTTCCATCAGTTATCTACCTCTTACACGTCATGTGAGCCAAAAATGAAAACTGACCTGGAAATCTGAGCCTAGGGAGCAGACGGTGAATTGATACAGGTGTGTGGAGGGACAAACAGCATATACTGATAGACTTTATATTTGATATCATTAGTGAGAGATAGCAGGTTAGGACAGGGGAAAGATGCATGTTATTCAAATACAGTTGTACAAATATTTTGGTTTATAATAAAAAATATAATACTGTCATATTGTATGTCCTATATGTGGAGTAGGATCACAGTATATATATATTCTGTAGGTTTTTATGATGCATTCATTTAAGATGTAAAATGTATTTACAATGCCTTATTATGACTTATCACCACAGATTCTGGAGGGTAATACTGATATCATCCCCCCACAAGTCCTGCAAAGTATTGATGATGACTCATCACCTGAAGAGTTGATATATTCCTTCCTTCCACCATCCAATGGAGAAGTGATTGTAAGGGGGTTCCCTGGGACGCTTTCTAGTTTCTCACAGAAGGATCTAGAACAAGGGATGGTGCAATTCATGCACAAAGGTGAGGAACAGCTGTTTGCCTTGCAGATCTTTTGGAACACTAAACTAAAGTGGATTCACTTTTAGAACAGTTCTTAGCATACATTTATAACACACTTTAGCCTGTTCTTTAGCGTAAGAGCCTGGAATTTGGATTTTACCATTTGGTTTACACAAACTACTTAACACTTTAATGGTGTAAAGGTGCAAAATACATTTACATGGGGCACAAACAATAATTTAACAATATGTGTTGGTTGTATAACTATTGTTGTAGTTAGTCTTAGGTAGAACCATGGCTGGCAACAATTATTGCTGCAAGTCTCTAGGGGTTAAGTCTCTACCAGCCTTTCACATCTGGATTCTACAATTTTATCCCATTCTCCTGGAAAAAAATGTACTAGCTGTTTCAGGTTGGATGGGGATCATTGGTGAAGCAATTTGCAAACATATTCTCAACTTGATTGAGATCTGGTCTTTGATAGGGCCATTCTACGAGATTCAGGCTCTTAGTTTTAAACCAGTCCAGAGTATCATTGGCTATGTGTTTATGCTTGGTAATTTTCTTCAAGGTAATCCACCACCCCAGTTTGAGGTCTCTTGCAGACTGAAACTGGTTTGATTCTAGAATTGTCCTGAATTTTGCATCTTACATCTTGAGCAGTTTCCCAGTCCCTGCCAATTAAAGCATCACCACAACATGATACTACCACCACCATACTTTACCTTAGGTATGGTGTGCTCAGCATGATGAGCAGTATTGGCTTTCTGACACATACAGCATTTTGCACAAAGAAGTTTAAGCCAAGAAGTTTCGTTTTGGTCTCATCAGACCTGAGAAATGTTTTTCAAGCTTGCTGTGTCTCTCAAATGCCTTTAGGTAAATTCCAAATGAGATTTAAAATGAGGTTTTCACCAATGTTTTCTACTTGTTGCTCTTCCATAAAGCACTGTTTTGTGGAATTTCCAGGTTATAGTTGTCCCATCAATGGTTTCTCAGCTGTAGACCCTGCAGATTCTTTCCCGTTATTTTTCTTGCTTGCTTCTCTAAATTATTTCCTAAACAAGTCCCTTCTTACCCTGTAGCTGAATTATGGTGAAAGGCCTTATCCAGGCTGAGGTGTGGTTGTGCCATATTCTTTACATTATGTAAATAATGGATTGACCGGTGCTCCTGGGGATGTTAGTTCCTTGGTATTCATGATGTTGTTTGTTTAGTTCACAGGAGAACTGAACTAATCAATGAACTAATTATGTGACTTTTGAAGGCAACTGCTTGCATCAGAGCTTATTTAGAGGTTTGAATGTCAAGGGTTTAAATACGTATGCAATCAAGAGGGTTGTTTTAATTGTAAATCATTTGGAAATCTAGTTTCATTTTTACTTTGACATTATGGACTATTGTGTAGGTCTGTTATGTAACTTTCAATTCAATGCATTTTAAAACTCGGTACAAATACTACAAAATGTGGAGAAGTTCAGGAGGAATAAATATTTATGCAAAGTGTGTAAGTGCTAGCAGATAATCTAACATGACGAAGGCCTAAAACATAAAAATCAGATGATTAAACGTTTGTAAATAAAATGTCAGGGGATCAGAAAAGTAGAGTTGTATCTGCTTTATTGACTAAAGGTTGGTACCAGTCAAGTGTGTGAATAGCAACAGGGGTGGGTGTTTCAGCAGAAGAGGGTGGTAAGACAACCAACAGGAAGAAATTATGAGTGAACAGTAAAGGAACAATTTTATGAATTTTAAGGCAACTTTGGGTTTTTGCAGATGTATATATTGAGGTTTATTTACTAAAGGAAATGAGAATCCTCTAACAATAAATTGTATGAATATTCACTTTAATTATCCAATCATGTGCAGAGTAAATAAGCAAACCAGAATTTGCTGTTAACATAATTGTATAATTACATTACATTTTTGCATACATTTTTGCATAATTTATTGTGTGAAGCTTCCTATCTTCTTTAGTAAATCAGCCCAATTGTGTGTGGCTGGCTGGGACTGAGCAGGTGGCTACAGTGTGGGTGGTAAGGTCTCGTTAACAACTAGGCGTATTGCATATGCGCGTCTGTCACACGTTTTTTACCACGATTCGCAGTAAAAAAGTCGCGCGACAAACGCGCGTTTCCGAAGGCTACTTGGCTGTATCCCAATGGAAACGCGCAACAAAACGGCCCAAAGTAGTACATGTACCTTTTCAGGCGTGGGCCCTTTTGTAGCGCGTTAGGGACAGGCGGAAATACGCCAAGGTGGGAACGAGACCATTGAATACAATGGGATTTATATTTTTGAGCGTTTTGTAGAGCGTTCGTCGAGCGTAGAACGCACTACAAAACGTTCAGGTGTGAACGAGGGCTTAAGGTGTAATAAGAAGGGAAGACAGGAAAGTGTTAGGCAGATAATCTAATACTATGGGGGATGGATGAGTAGGTGACAGTTTGGGACTTTGAAGAGTAACCAGAGAAAAAATAAACATTTGAATATCACAAAGATGGGGGTATTAAGTGGCAGATTTAATGTGTTTAAAGGCCAGTAAATGCAAATATGTGACCAAGATTAAGAAACAGGCAGCCAGGAAATGCATTCAGGGGTAGTGACTATTATTATGTTTTCACTTTACACAGGAGAATTGGATGGTGGCTTCTTCTTCAAAGTATCTGATGGAGAAAATGAATCAGAGCAACACTTTTTCCACATTCAAGCCACACGAATCACAATCCAAATGCAGACAATGCATAACCTCATAGTATGTCCTCGTAAGTGGTGATTTAATTCTCTACATCAGGAGAATTCAGTATATATTCAAATGTACAGTATATAAAGTGCTACATTAACAGTTTAAGGCAGTTAGCGGTATGACAGAAAGAGTGACAGGTAATACAAAACATAGCAGGAAATATCTCAATCATACAGCCTACATTACATCCTCGTAGAGCATGAGATGAGAACAGAAACTGGCAGCAAGCATGTGGGTAATAAAGATTGAACTTTGCCATCCAATTTTTAAAACGATAAACGTATTTTAAAGTAAAAAGGAGTGCAGAAGGAGAAGGAAAGGGCGCAAAAAGAGCAATAAGGAGAAATAGTAAAGAAGTTTAAGAAAGGATAAGGGAATTTAGAGAAAGAAAATAAATAAATAATTGTTGGAGATATATAGATCCCTGTAATAAAATAATATATGTCAGGCAACGCATGTTCTAAACAATATCTCTTATACCAGGATCCCTGCAACAGATCACCAGCCAGCACCTGAACGCAGTGACAAATGATGGCAAGAGCACATCATTTGATCTGGTGTATCATATTGAAAATGCTCCACAGATTGGTCAAATCAGACATCAAGGAAATCTTGAAGGGCCAGCAGTGACTAATTTCACTCAGGCAGAAGTGAGTCTTTGTGTGTTTTCCTTAACTAATCTAGACATTCCTTTCGGTTTCCAGGATTTTCAGCATGTTTTCTTTCATTTACAGATAGATGAAGGTTTAATATATTACCAGCATGTGATCAGTCCATCTCCATTTTGGATTACTCAAGATAACTTTTCATTCCATGTGCAGTCCCCACAGGCCATATCCCAAAATTATATCTTTAATGTGACAGTAACATTCAAGGATCCATGTCCGCAACTGCACACACAACTCTGGAAAAACACAGGTAAGACATACAGGTGCACCTTTCTGGGAAAGTGTATATCATATGGCCGGCCATATTCACATATGATCTCAGATGGAGTGATTTGTAAACATTGGAGATAAGAAAAGTTTGTTACATTAGTTCTCAGCATTGCTAGTTATTGATTTCATGGAGCTAACATGTATGAATTCTACAGCTCTACTGCAGAATCTACTGGTCCTATATTGCTTCTCCTCACAACACTTATCCTGACCCACACACCTAACCCTAATATTTATATTACCCCCACTTAAACCTTTAAGCAAACCAATGAGGTGGGGTTCTTGTCATAATGTGCAAGGGTACTTGCACATTATGAGACACTTACCTAATACTGTATTTAGCCCTCCTCCAGCATGGCAGGACCAGCTCACTATCACTGCTCCTTCGCTTGCTGCTTCTTCTGAATCCAGCGTCACAATCGTGCACAGGAGTTATACCGCACCTACCATCATTCTTGGCCAGTTGCCAAGAATGAGCCGAGTGTGTACTCTGCACAGGAACCACAGTCAGTGTACACAACATACAACATTTCTAGTAGCAATAGGAAAAGCAAAACTATCTAACTGCTTTAACTTATGCCTTAAGCCCTACCCATGCAGTAAGCCCTTAAACCAGGGGTAGCAAACCTCCAGCCCTCCAGCTGTGGTGAAACTACAAATCCCATGATGCATCTCTCTTCGGGAGTCATGTCTGTGGCTGTGAGAATCATGCAATGCCTCATGGGATTTGTAGTTCCACCACAGCTGGAGGGCCGGAGGTTTGCTACCCCTGCCTTAAACTGTGCATCAAATTGTATGCCAAGCCAAAATGTTTCTAGTTGCGAATAGCATGGGAAAGTTTTGGAACTCATGCTAGGTTTTTACTGCATTACAGGTGCATTGGAGATATTTACCTTCACTTTCTCTCCTGCTGACAATGGGGTCACCAAACAGGACATGAATAAAATCTGCAACAGGGACACTGATAGGGGTTTTAGCCTTTCCTTGCACTATTGAAAAAAAAAAGCATTTTTATTTCCATCTGTGTCACAGTTGGACAGTTCTTCTCATGTCCTGTCTGGTAACACATTGTTTGGTAACACATTGATAGCAGGTCAGGAAGTGTAAATCTTTCTAATGGATAGAATAAAAACCAGATAGCAGTGAAAACCTGAAATACATTCTCAGCCTGCCCCACTCAAAACTAAGAAAATACATTTTGGGCTGGACATATACTTAAACTAGGGATGCACCAATACCGTTTTTTGAGTATCAAGTACGAGTACCGATATATTTTTTTTTTGGTACTCACCGATACCGAATACCCATACTGGAAGTCCCATTAAGGAAATTTCCTGATTAGCTGTGAAGCCAGCTCCATGCTCCCTCGTCACCAGGCGACGAGGAAGCATGGAGACGGCTTTTTAGCCAATCAGGATGCTGCGGGCGGCTAATGATTTGCTGTCCGGCTTCCTGATTAGCCAGCTTCCCGACCAATCGGAAGCCGGGCGGCATGTCATTACATGCCACCCGGCTTCCTGATTGGCCAGGAAGCCAGCTCCATGCTCCCTCGTCACCAGGTGATAAGTAAGCATGGAGCCGGCTTTCTGTCCAATCAGAAAGCCGGGGGCAGGTAATGGCTCACCGCCTGGCTTCCTGATTGGCCAGCTTCCCGACCAATTAGGAAGCCGATTCATTACACGCTGTTCGGCTTCCTGATTGGCTGGAAAGCCGCCTCCATGCTCCTCATCACCAAGTAACGAGAAAGCATGGAGCTGACTTCCTGGCCAATCAGGAAGCTCGAGTGCAAGTCGTTACCCGCCCCCGACTTCCTGATTAGCCAGGAAGCCAGCTCCATGCTACCTGTTGACGGGGGAGCCCACTCCCACGACACCCACTGCTGCTGTCAACCAGCAGAGGTGGACCTGAAGTTCTGTCATTGCTATTGCCATCAGAATACAAAATAAAAACCCAGGAGATAGCAGGGGAAGCATTACCTCCTCTGCTATCTGCTGATTTCCCTGCTATACGTGGGAGGGGAATGGGCACCTCCGTGAAATTAGTTTTTTCAGGTTGGGATATCTGTAAACAAGCAAATGCTCCCGATACTTCCGGTATCAGGAAGCCCGGCGGTGAGTCATTACACACCGCCTCAATAGTGAATAACCCCTCAGTTTCAGCTCTCATGACACTATAGCAGATTACAGAGAGAGAAAAAAAACATCTGACTGGTTTATAGAAGTAGCATGAACACTTCTCCAGTTAAAAAAAAAATCAATTATAGTTAAAATCACATTAAAAAGGTATATACATAGCTTTTCACTTTACAACTTATTGTGATGTTTCATAAAACCCCAACATCTGGATTTATGAAAACTGAGGAGAAAAAAGAAAAGGTTTGTGTTGTTCATTGCCAGCAGTCAGGGGCTCTATTTCACACTGAAACACTAACATAACATGCTTTGAGCACCAGCTCATTACTCCGCAGTTGGTCAGCCCTGTTTACATTATAAGAGCACTCTTTCCCTGTGGCTTTGTATTCTATGTAATTTACAGGATATAGAAGATACATATGTATGTAGACAAGATTATATTCATAGAATTAGGAGACTTCATTTGCTTTTTCAGTCACAACGTGCCTCTGTTACATAAAATTCCCTATATCTATCATAATATTTGTAAATTACACATTTGCTCCAGGAAATCCATGTCCGCTACTAAACCCCTCACCACAAATGCCATCTGCAGTGCATAAAAGCAGGTTTATCTGCTGAAGCTGCTGAAACCTATAAATGTAAATATTTTCTGATCCTTTGAAGATCAGTAGAAACATTATTGTGCATATCAAAAGGGAACTCCATGTGCAAGCAATCTCTCCTGAAACCCTGACAAGTTTATTCTACAAAGCAATAGAAAAGGCAATGGGAAGTTAGATGATGATGCACACACAGCAATACCCTCCAGAACCAATCTTTTTGCTGAAGGCAGGATCATGAAAAAAAATGATTTGATTTGGGAAACTTTTGTAGCTTTTTTTAAATACAACTGCAATGGGACCGGGCAATACTGCTAGAGATCACATCATTGTTACCAGGGAATCATATGATAACACATCTAGATGAATACCTAGGCTGGCTTCTATGGAGTCTATTCACTATACTGTCGTAGGCAGCCGAGTGACTAACCGACCCGAAGCGGAGTGAGCCGAGCGCTGTTCAGCTATTCACTTCAGGCTGACACGGCTGATTCCAGCCGTATATCAGCGGAAATCAGCCGTACATCGGGTGGGTTCGGCTGGCTTCGGGTCGGTCGAAAATACTCAGCATGTTCAGCCAACCCGAAGTGCAGAAGGAGTTAGACTCAGCCGATCCAACATCTGGATCTGCTAAGCCGATCCAACATCTGGATCTGCTAAGCCGATCCAACATCTGGATCTGCTAAGCCGATCCAACATCTGGATCTGCTAAGCCGAACCTCCGGCAGGCTACTCGCAGGTAACCAGGGACGCTGATCTGTCTGTGCAAGTGGCCAGAGCCAGCCGTGAGATGATGACTGGCTCCGCCAGGAATCAGTAGCAGGCTGTCGGCCACCTTCGGCTTTCACCTCGGCACAGTCAAGCCGAAGCATATGCCTTCGGCTCGACTGAGCTGCTCGGCCGACTTCGGGAGCTGTACGGGCTATAGTGACTAGCACATACAGCAGGGGTCCTGGGGCCGAAGCTAGATGAAGGATCAGCCGATGCTACGGCTAGATCCTTCGGCTGCTTCGTGAATAGACCCCTATGTGATAATATGTGATGCTTGATACTTGCCTCTATTAGTTTAGTAGACGGACTACTCTTGTATGATAATCACTCATTGGGAAATATCCTTTTTTATTCCAACTGCAAACGCTTCAGTTATTATTAACAACCAGCGACAGTTCAGAGGCAGCAGTGCAGAGGTTGGTACTGTTGTTACATACATAGGACAGAGGTGCTCTCTGCATTTACTTTCAACCATGCTATGGTAGCCAGTCCTAATAAGGGGCGTGCGGTTCAGGGGAGGCAGGTGAGGCAGAGCCCCACCTAGTATTATGGAGGAAAAAGCTGTCAGCTTCAAGTCTGAAGCTGACAGCTTTTTCTCCATTCAGACTGGCTTGTAACAAGTTACACAGAGGAGAAAGCCTCCACGCTGTGTAACCTGTCATGGACGGAGCATAACAGGCATGCTGCATCCAGCTTTTGACAGCTAAGTTAGATTACACAGCAGTGGGCGTCTCCACTGCTTGTGTAACCTAACTTAGTGAGGCGAGAGCTGCAACAGCCTCAACTTTGTGTTAGAGGCTTGTGATCTGTAGATGGTTTAGACCAATGGCAAAGCACCATTGGTCCAAGCTGTCCAATGGAAAAAAATAAAAACCCTTGAGGACATCGATCTCGATGCCTCACCAGTGACGAGCAAGTGAGGGACAGGGAGGCTCCACCCTGTCTCCTCCCTTCCTCCTCCCTCCTTTACACTAGCTTGGTTGGTGAACGGGTTGGGGGCAGGACTTCATCAGGATGAGAGCATGGCTTCAGTGTGCTGGGGGCGGGGCGGGGGAATGCCTTACCAAGCACCGATGGTACCGCACGTCACTGGTCCTAATGTAATATTAAATTCAGAAGGTTTTTAAACTATTTGAAGGGCTGATTGAATAATTTACAATGGATGCTGCTCTGGTCCCCTGGTCACTGGCCCTGATCTCCTGCTTTAGGGTGGCTCCTTTCCCTTTTAGGGTCCTATGGAGTCGCCTTTGTGCGTGCTAGTAAGCTATGTGTGTCTGCACAAACACACAGACACAGCAGGGCAAGTCATTCCCCTGCTCTCTGCTCCTCCTTCCTTTTCACTTCTCAAAGCTAGTAGATGGACAGCTGGAGACTGCTCTGTCCCTTGTGATCTTGTACTGGGCAGCATGGGCGTGGATAAGGGGGGG